TTTTATCATATTTGATAACTGCAAATTTACCTTATTTTCGGTTTCTTTTTATTTCTTCCCAAAGCTTTTTTCGTTTTTCTAAAGTTTCATTTGCGTAATCTTCATTTATGAATACTCCACTGCCCTTAAGTTTTTTTGCTAAAGATAATATTTTGCTTTTTTCATGAAAATTTAAAAGTTTGAGAATTATCGTTCGCGGCTTGTCTTCTTTTACTTGTTCTATTCGATGGGCTCTCTCAACTATTATGTCCTCTGCAATTCCCAATTGGTTTTTAAAGATATTTTTAACTATGCTAACACAGTCATTCCATGTTTCAGAGTTAGATTCGGATACTCCGTCAATTCTTAGATTGCTACGACGTGACCTGTTTTCCAAATCTATAGTCTTCCCTTTTTTTTTTTTTTTTTAACATCTTCACTTCCAACAAGGCTGCAAGCAACCACTATAAGAGTTGGAAGTTACTGGAAGAGAAAAAACTAAATCTGTAGAGCAAGATAACGATTGACTTGAAAGATTGCAAATTATATGAATCAGGAAAGCAAGATGAAGGAAGCGAATTCCAAAGAACTGATGTTCGAGGAAAAAAACTAGAAGAATAATAGTTTTTGAAGCACTTAGGAACAGTCACAGAAAAAGGATGAGACTTAATTGAATGGCGAGTAACACGAGAATGAATTTTAGTAGATGGCACAAGGGACGCTAGCTCTTTAGAGCAGTGCCCATTATAGTATTTGTAGAAAAGAGAAAGAGAAGCAACATTACGACGATGTGACAAAGGTTGGAGATTGGCTGCCAGAGCAGGTCCAACTATGTTTACAATTCGTTTTTGCACCTTGTCTAAAAGAGAAAGAGCATCACCAGAAGATCCGCCCCAGATGTGCAACAGTATTCCATATAGGGACGGATTTGAGATTTATAGAGATAGAGAATAGAATCTGGAGTAAGAAAGTGTCGAGCTCGATAAAGAGATGCAACCTTAGCAGATGCTAATTTTGCAATGGATTTGATATACGGTTTAAAAGAAAGATCAGAAGTAAGAGTTAATCCTAGAAGATGAATGGTAGATGACTCATCTAGTACATTACCATTCATAAATATAGGAAGATCTAAATTATTACGATAACGATTGGCTGAATAAAATTGAGTTTTATCTGAATTAAAGTTCACCAGCCACTGTGAGCCCCATGCTGTAGCAGAAGTGAGATCCTTTTCAAGCTCAGATACCCCCTCCAAGCAATCAGAGAGTGTAGGCTTCTTATCATGACAAGAGTAAATGGTAGTGTCGTCAGCGAATAATGCCACCTTAGATGTGAGAATATCTGGAAGATCGTTAATGTAAATTAAAAAGAGTATAGGGCCAAGGATTGAACCTTGAGGAACCCCTGAAGTTACAGGATGTGAAGAAGAGTGTTGTCCATCGAGGACAACTTTTATACTACGATTGGAAAGAAAGGACTCAATAATCTTAAAGACGTTACCAGCTACGCCATAAGAAGAAAGCTTATGGAGAAGACCAGCATGCCAAACTTTATCAAAAGCTTTAGAAATGTCAAGTGCGATAGCCTTAACCTCTCCACCTCTATCTAATGCACGGTAAAACCTATCGGTTATTACTGTTAGCACATCAGCTGTAGAACGAGAAGACCGAAATCCATATTGATGAATAGAAAGTAAGTTATTTGATTCAAGATGAGAAATTAAGTGTTTGTTGATTAAAGATTCAAAAACCTTGCTTATGACAGGAAGAAGACTAATGGGACGGTAGTTAGATGAATCAGATCGCTCTCCGGAATTTTTGAAAATAGGGATAACAGATGCTGCTTTCCAGCATGATGGAAAACAAGACTCTGATAAGCACTTGTTAAATAGTTTAGAACGTATGGATGAAAGCTCCGGAGAACACCTCTGCAAGACTACAACAGGAATGTTGTCAGGACCACAAGCTGTTGAAGAGTCTAAGCAGGAAATTACTTTAGATACAGAAGCTGAAGTGATGCGAATGTCAAGCAAGGGATCAACCTGTTTGACGGCTATGTCAGGTAAAACGCAACTAGTGGAATCAAGAGATGATATTGATAAAAAGCTCTTAGCAAACAATTCAGCTTTGTCTTTAGGTGAGGTGACAAAGTCTGAACCATACAAGAGAGAAGGAATAACAGATTTGCCCTTATTATTGATACTGTTAAAGATTCTCCAGAAGTCTCGAGAGCCTAATTTTTGTGATGAGATACGAGATTTAATGACCTGGGAATAGCGAGCTTTGGCGTCAGACAAAACCTTTTTACCTGGCGATAGTGAACAGATGTCTGTTTTCTGGAGAATTGTTTTGCTGATAGATATGGAAGTAACGGTTTCAATTAGAAATTGCTGCAGCGCAATGTGAGGAAAACCAAGGAGAAGAGTGAGGCTTGACCTGGAATCGTCGAGAGGGAATAAAAGATTCCATGCCAGCCTGAATCCACGAAGTTATGTAAGAAGCACATTTGTCAGCAGGAAGACGAAAGATTTCTACCCAAGGGCCATCACGAAGAAAATCACGGAAAGAGTCCCAGTCAGCTTTAAGGTAGTTGTATGTGGTACGATGATAGGGGGATTCTGATGAAGTAGAAGAATTTGATAATAGTTTTAGAGAGATCAAACCGTGATCAGAAGTACCTAAGGGTGAATGTGGAGAAATTGAGCACTGACTAGGATCCAAAACAAGACATAAGTCGAGTAGAGAAGGTAAATGATTAGGGTTGTCTGGAAAACGAGTTGGAAAGTTGACTATTTGAGTTAGAGATTGAGAAAGGCAAAAGTTGAGGGCCTTAACGCCAGCAGAGTCACTGACACTAGAGCCAAGCCAATCGGTGTGATGGGCATTAAAGTCACCAACAACGACGATATTGGCCAATGGATAAAGAGAGAGGGCTTGGTCAATTTGATCAGAAATAACATCAAGAATAGTGCAATCTTGGGATGAAGGAGAGCGATATAGAACAAAGAGAAAGGCGATAGAGTGAAGTTGTGCTAAACGAAAGCACATAAATGAATAGTCTGTAGATTCAAACCTAGTTTTACGACAAATGGGTGAGTTCTTACGAATGTAGATGCCCAGGCCAAGCATGTGATTATTGGAGTCTTTACGAATTAAAGGAAGATAACCATCAACACTAAGATCACAAGATGGGACAGCCGAACTCAAATTAGTCTCACAAAGAGCAAGTAGGTCTGGTGAACTTTGCAAGAGATAAGACTCAACAGAAGAAAAGTTATTTCGAAGACCACGAATATTAGTAAATGATAGGTTTGGAGAACTTGGTGATGACGATGGTTTTTTGTGTTTTTCAGTTTTAGGTACTTTGGTCATTTTAAATTTATAAAGAACTTGACTCAAGTATAGATAGAACTCAGTACACTATTTAACAACTAAGCAATAGCCTCATTACTATTAATAAACCCTAAGCCGTAACAAAGGGCTCCAAATGTGGCCTCTGCAATGCACACCAAAAGAACAAACAGGGACACCATCCATGCGCAACATGGCACTGTTAGTACTCTGATATTTTTCGGCTGTTGATGGAATCGGCCTCTCTGAGAGCTACCACAGAGTTCGGGAAACCTGACTACCTACCGGCCTCAGAACCATAAAACTGAGTTTTAGAGCTGTACCCTCATTAGGAGATAATAGAATGAGTTGCCCAGTCATAAAAATAGAGACACAAGCAATACCCACGCATTGAGTCAAGAAGATCCAGCGTTCAACATCCTAAACTGGAAACAATGTATTAAAAATACATCTGCGCCAGCTTAATAGATGAGGAAGGGGTGCGAGGCTGGTCAACAGATAGAATCTGTTTACCCCTTAAGTCTTTGCCTAGGAGGCCTTCTACAAGACAGCAGCTGGATGCATGTAACATCTGCCCAAGATGAGTATTTTTATCGAGACACCATCTCTAGCCTTTACTCAACCAAGAGCCCCAAGGCAGGGGGTGTTTTAATTCGGAGTTAACTTCTCCAGCCTTTGCCTAAAAAAGCGTATCCTACAAGGCAGCAGGACATGGAGCAGGTTGTACTGGGTTACATGTTACCAGTAGCAGGAAAACCTGACCTGACATGTAGAATTTTTAGAATACTAATTTCATCGTTACACTTTTGGCTCATTTGTGCTAGTTTATTTGTGAAGTTTTCTTCTTGAAAGTTAAAGGTTTCTTTGATATCTCTAAAGTTTTTTTCTAAGGTTGAAGTTTTTGATTTGTTGGTGTTAATTTCGCTTTCGAGTTTATCAATTCAATCCATGATAATTTTCAGATTTGAGCTTATAATATTTGTAAATGTTGCTTCTTGGTTTTTTAGAAGTTTGTCAGTTTCTTTGAGAATATATTTTTTTTGTTCTTCGAGTTTTGTTGTTATAAGCCGTTCAATATTTTTCATTGTAACTTTAATTTTTTTCAAAAAATGAGTGTTGCAAAATTTTTGAAGATAGTTTGATAAATTCCGGTTATAAAGATAATTAAATACTAAAAACTAAAATTAATATACTTTTATTATTATTTTTTTTATTTTTCAAATTTTTTTATTTTTTATTATAGATAATTATACAATTTTTTATTAAAGATAATTATACAATTTGATTTAGGGTAGAACGGGGCATAATAAGGACACGTTTATTAGTATAAACTAATCATAAGTAGCACTAATTTTTTATACATTTCTTTAAGTTCTTTTTTATACTTTTTTTCATCAAGTGCAGTTTTCCACGAGACACGCGAAGCGAATTTTTTTGTCACGACGGTTTCCACACATTATGTTTTGCACTACCCCAGCAAACAAAAAGATATCTAAAATGCATCTAATATGCATCTAAAAACTGGTCTAAAAGACGTCTAAATTCAGGTCTAGAACGGGACATAAATAGACGTCTATCTTATAGACGTCTTTTAGATGCATTTTATTCGACACAAATAATTGCCTTAGATGCATTAAAGATGTGAAATATACATCTTACAGATGCATATTAGCCAATTTCATACGACGCGGTTTAACTTAGCGAATATTGCCTGTAGGGACAAAATTCTAGCCAATCAGATATGGTTTCTAGATTATGCGTTTTTTCTCGATTAAACAACTAAAAAAAATAGTAGTGCTTAATATCATCGAGTCAAAAAATTTATCAAAATCAAAACAAAGGTTCATTTTATTTAAGTTACAAAAATAAGTTAGCGATAATGTAACTATTATTTACTATAAACTAAGATATTAAATATTATAATAAGATATCAAATCAATTTATTGTATTGCTTAAATCAATGGTTCACTGGTTTTGTAGCGCATCATTATGTTTTAATAACTTTGGAAGCAAAACTACTAACGGAGAACGTATTAAGTTTTACAGGCTTCCTAAAGATGTTTCTTTACAGAAAGAATATATTCGAATTTTACATGAATTTCAAAAATGGGAATATTTGTTGTGAACATTTTTCATCTGAAATTAGAGAGTTATGCACTAATATTCCAGACATAGCTGCATCACCAAGCCAAATTGCTATAATGGAACGAAAATACACAAATGCTCTGACCAAAATGACCATCACAAGAAGCGACTTGTCTAAACCTTGTCTTGTTCGTAAAAAACCCACAAACCGATCTGTTTATGTTACGAAACCTCCTTTACGTAAACCAACTAAACAACAGTTGTTTTCTAAATTAAAAAAAGGAGCAGATGCTTATGAAATTCTTCAAGAAAAACTAAACAACGCAAACAACTATGGACTTACTTTCTTCAACATGGAAAATATTATGTCATGTTGTAAACCTTACAATGCGCCCTATTGAGCCAAAGGAAGAATTTTGTAATAAATAATATTTTGTGAATATATATAAGCATATAATATTATCTTATTTATTTTTATCATAAAATATTTTTAAATATTTAAACCAATTTTAATGGAGAAATTGATGTTTCAACAAGTTCTTTAATATACGATCTAAGTGGTTTTAGTTCTTTAAAATCTGGAATTTTTCCCACAATATTATTTCCAAGAGTAGTGAGCAAAGAATGTTCTTGATGGTGCCATTTTTTTATTGGGTTTGAATGCAAAATGCTATCTGAGATTTCCTTTATAACTGACATCAGTAGATAATTAATTTGAATAATAAAGTAATTTGAGTTCTCTGTTTCTGGATGATAAGATTGTAAAATGCAGTATTTAGATTTTGTACATAGTAGTTCAAGCTGTGCCTGTACGTAATATTGAGGTTGATTTTTTAAATGGATCAATGGACTGTCTCTATTTTTTGCTCGTGTTTTTATTTCTAAAATAATTTGATGTGAAACAAGGCTATCTGGACTTGCTCCATAATTTAAATCATCTGGGTGATAGAAAAATCCACACATTTCGGGAGAACATTTTGACATCTTTGCAAACTGTTGAAGTGCCATAAACTCATATTTATGTCCACGCTCAAAATTTTTAATGTTTTGTGTGTTATAAAAATCATTTTCGTTTAATCCTTCCTTAACTATTTTCCAATAATTTGCAAATTTTTCTTGTCCATATATCCCTAGCAATGCTGGTAATCGACTCCCCGTTACTTTTCCTTTTCTTGTGTCCATCCATTCTTGGGTATTTTGTTTGACATTAATATGATTTGTGTATTGCCTTTGCGTTGGTACCATATTTTTTAAGTTAATATGAATTACAGGATGCTCATTTAAAATTTGCATACTAATTTTTTCTAAAACAATATCTTGTTCAGGTGAAATTGAAACTACCTCAATGTTTATGATATTTTGATTTAGTATTTGCATTATTGTTGGTATTTCATTATAATTTTCTTGATATTCTTGTGGGTTTACTATTTGTTTATTTAGAGTACGACTTTTTACATTTATAGAACTTAATTTATCAACTTGAGAGTTAAAACTTTCACGATCATATCTGAATCTTAAATGCCCCATTAGTGATGATTCATATCCTAGATCTACTGAACAAAGAGTATCATATACGTGTTTCTCAAATATGGGTAGCTTATTCAACCCTTCTTTAATTTTTTGCTTCATTTTTAAAACATCTCTTTTAAAAGATGAACTTTCTGGATCTGCTGGAGCAATTTTTAAGTTTTCAATTTTGTTCTTGTTTCTTGCTGATTTTACTTTAATATGACATAGTGGGACCATTGGAATAGAGCCTTTTTTTGATCTTTTATGCCATTTCTGTATGACTTGTGTACACGTTAATTCTAAAATAGTTGTCTTTGTGTCCACATAATGCTTTAGGTAAAGAAGGATAGCTAAAACATGACAGCAAAGTCCACTAAGACCAACAGGACATTCGCAATAACCCTTTAGGGGTGTTCCTCCTACAAAAAGTAAAATAGCAGGACGTGCATCGTAGCCATAAGATTTTCTTATAAAAGCTCTTACATATACCCTATTGCTATCTGAATGCGTTTTAACAGATATAATTTTTCTGCTTGTTAACATCTGGTATGCTTTTTGCTGTTGTCCAAATGTACCCTCTCTTTTATTGAGAATGTATTCTTTAAAAAGCTTAGAGTTTACATAAGGGTAGAGGTTTTCATTGTCAGTCCAATTTTGAGATATGTGTGGTATCTCGTCTACATGCAAACTTGTTGAGAACAAGAATTTTTTTTTTGCTTTTCGATAAAGTTTTTCAACTAATTTTGGATATGGTAAGAACTTCAAAATTTTTGCTTGCAATTCTTTAACAGAGCCTGTGACACCAAGTCCGTGGTTTACAAGCCATTCAACACAAATCTTTCTTGAAGCTGTTGAAATGTTTACAACATTAATACTTAGCTCCATTTACAAATATACTTTTAAAACAGTAGTAGTAAATTAATAGTTAACTTTATATTACTTTTTAAACTATTTATCACTTTACTTTAAATTTTATATCGCTTTACTTTAAACTTTATATCGCTCTACTTTAAACTAATATATATGTAAACAAACGCAATAATATTTTTTGTCCCTACAGCTCAATTATTCGTTCCCAGACCTTCCCGTATGAAAGTGGGCAATTAGATGTATAAAATACGTCTCTTAAATAGATGTTTAAGGCGCGTTTAAAAAAGATAGATAATAGATACTTTTTTAGCTAATAATAGCTCTTTTATGCATCTAATATACATCTAATATACATCTTTAAATGTATATTTCACATCTTTTATGCATCTAAGGCATTTATTTGTGTCGAATAAAATGCATCTAAAAGACATCTGTAAGATAGACATCTATTTATGTCCCGTTCACGACGTGAATTTAGACGTCTTTTAGACCAGTTTTTAGATGCATATTAGATGCATTTTAGATATCTTTTTGTTTGTTGAGACTTGTTTGATACAAAGGTGTTACAGCGGTTAAATTAGCCATAAAAAAGGATTAAATTAAATAAGTAGAGAAACATTTTAACTAACATTACTTAATTTTTATTTCACATAAATATACATAAGAAACTATATTTCTGCATTGCCGTCAACATTTTCTTCCACGTCGCCGATATCTAAAATATTTACATTAATGACATTTAAATGACTTTAAAAGACATGTAGAATTCTGAATCTATTTTTATGAAATATTATATATATATATATATATATATATATATATATATATATATATATATATATATATATATATATATATATATATATATATATATATATATATATATATATATATATATATATATATATATATATATATATATATATATATATATATATATATATACACATACAGTATTGGACAAAACCAGTGCAACCAAATGATGCTAATTTAGTTTCTTTATATAAAAGTGCTGCATTTTTTTAATTTAGAGAAATAACTATGTAACTGTTTAGAAACAACGTTCTTCAAATTTTATTCATCACAAAGTTCATTATTTGTACACGAAAATTATTAAATTAATCAAAAGAATTAAAAAAAGTTGATTTCCTTCTGGACAACACAAGTGCAACTCCACAAAATGTTGACCAAGCTGTATTTTGCTATCAATATTTTGTGGTGAATCCTTTGTTGTCGATCACAGCCTTGCATCTTTAAGGCATAGATTCGATCAGGTGATCAATGAAACTTTGTGGAATCGCTGCCTAGGCTATTTGGATTTGTTCAAACAGTTGATCCTTATTACGAACACATTCATGATTAATTTTTTTATGAAAAAACTAAAGAAACTTGTATTATGGATACAAAAATTACTAGCATGACACAAAAAAGTCGAAGAATATCTTTTTAATACAGATATCAGTTTTGTAAATACTATTAAAGCTATACCTCGTAAAACACTCCATATATTTACTAGATTTTCTAAGCTTATCTTTTCCCCATTTCTTTTGAATTTGGACTGTAACTGATTCGAAAATAACCTGATAAATATTTTAACAATAAACTGAAATATATTTATAAAGATTTTTATTTTAATATATGTAATAAATTAAAATATATTTTAATATATGAATGCTTAAAATTATGAAAAGTTTATCAAATTGTCATGTTAAAAGTAAATCCATAACAAATAACGGTCAAAATGAATCGCTTTTGGTCCCTTTTAATCATATTTCTAATAATTAATAAAAACATAATCATTTACCTTTTCATGATCAAAAAAACATGTTCTCTTGGCTTTCCACCACCAATCTTTTTCAAACTATCAAGCTGAAATAAATGTAATAAAAACTAGTGTAACTTAAATTTCTTTACAACATTGAGTCTAACACAAGCTAGTTATTTTAGTTCATTTACAAATACTTTTCATTTAGATTCTAAACTAGTAAACCAAATTTAAACAAACTTATTAAAAATTAAGATAATTAGATTATACCAAATTAGTATACTGGGTTTTATCTTTTAGTTTATTATCCAGTGTAACCACTTCGTCCACTGATTCTAGCAATTTCACCCAAGTAGCCTGAAACTTAGTTTCTATAACTTCTTTTAAAAGAATTTTTATTTCTGCAAGCTCGTTGAGAATAACATTTTGCATCTCTACAAACAAGAATAAAAAGATTGATTAACATATTTAGCTCATAAAACCAAATAGCAAAACAATGAAATAAGAACTTTAAAATTCAAATTATGCTTGAGTAACTCAAACTAAAATTCCAAAAATACATGTAAGTTTTTTTATTACTCCATCGCAGAAGTTGCCATAATATTTTGGAAAACCAACTTTTTAAATCAGCTAAAACTTTATCCTGTAAAAGGTTACGATATTAAAGAATTTTGTTTAACTACTAAAGGTAAAATGCTACACACATGATTTATCATATCACAATATTACAAATAATCTATTTCTATTCTTTTATACCTATCTTTTTTTGTATTAAAATGATACAATTATTTTAATACAAAAATAAATTAATAAAAAAGACCTCCACATTAACATTCAGTGGTGTAAAAACCAAATATTTTTTATTCTGTTCATCAATAAAATGTGAAGAAAAATTATCTTCTTCAATCTTTGAATCTGATAACAACTCTATTCAAAAGAAATAATTATAATTAGAACTATAAATAATCCCTCAACCATACCTGTTACTTAATTTAATCTTTCAAGCAATTTTGTACTCTTTCAATTTCTGAATTTAAACAATTTCAGCATGCTTTCAATCAACTTTTAATTTTCATATCAAGTTGATTAAAGGATTATTTAATACAATAGAATGTTGTCAATCATATAAATATATGTAACCAATTTAACAACATTACAAATAACAGGACACCTAAATAGTTAAAATAAAAGGAAAATCTTAGTAATACATAAAAAAGACTAATAGCTAGATAGATATTATTCAGATCAAATTAAACAAGAATCTATTTCAGTTTATAAACCATTAAGAAAAAAATATGATATTTGTGTTATACTTTTAGCATTGGACTTATTCATAATAGGTGGCGGAGGTTCTGGTAATGAAGAGCGGTATGATTTGTTATTCTTATTTTTAATGCTTTCTTTAACATATATTTCATCTGATGTAGAAAGTTGTATTCTTCACAACATGAAAATGAATCTAATTATAAAACATTTTGCTACAAAAAAGTAATTAAGTTACCTTTAAAAAAAACACAAAACTAGTTAGATACTGACTATCTGTTATCTTACACTTTATCAATGGGTATTTGTGCCATTCTTTTGTTGACAAAAGGTTGTTTTTCAGTGCATGATTATAGTTTTTTTTTTGGGACAATAAATTTGTTGCTATTATTTCTCAATCCACTTATATATATATATATATATATATATATATATATATATATATATATATATATATATATATATATATATATATATATATTAATTACATTATCTTTTATTCTAGAAATAAAAATATCAACTTGGAAATATTAATTTTGTAATATTTCTGCAAAATAAATTTCAAATCACAAGGATTTTAGCAAACATGCTAAGCATCAAATCATCGAAATATTTTGTGAACTATAATAGCATGTTATTTTATTATTAAAAATTCATCATAAAGAAATAATCATTGATGCATGGCCTACTTAAATACACGGCCTTCTAATCTGCTTAAATCGAAAAAAAATAGAAGGCCAGTTGAAATAACGTATATTCTATTATTTGGACAGACTCTCTCAAAATATTTTAAATATTGCGCTATAAATGTTAAGTAAGTAAATCTGACACCGGATAAAAGTTTTTGCGTTATATTAATGCCAAACTGTATTGTTATTTGTGACTACTTTTTAATTATTAATAATAATAATGGTTAATAAATGCTGTGTTGTTGGTTGTACCTCTAATTATAATGGTGGTGAAGTAGTCCCAGTTTTTGGTTTTCCAAAAGATGATGACTTAAGAAAGTTATGGGTTAGATTTGTAAACAGAAATTTCTGGACTGTCACTAAATCATCTGTGATCTGTTTAAAACATTTTGATGAAAATTTAATACACAAAGGAGCATCAGCAAAACGATTTCGTTTGTTGTATAATTTGAAGCCTGTTCCTACAATATATCCGGCTAGCATAGCAACGGCTTCACTTCCAGTTATGTCTGTACCAAGAAAATCACCAACTAAAAGAATTTTTCAAGAAGATGAATATTAGAAATTTTTATCAAATGATGTTATTGAAGATCTTAATTCTCTTACAGTTGCTGATTTACCAACAGGATATTCATTTTCCAAACTTGATGATTGTGTTGTGTTCCATAAAATTATTCAAAATGAACTTCACATACCTCAAATTGCTGAATGTATTCGTATTGACAAAAATCTTCACGTTAAACTTTTTTATAAAAATCTTCCAGTTTCTTTACCACCTTGGTTTAGAGTAACCCACCAATGTGTGTTAAAGAGAAGGAGTATGCTGGAAAACTTCAATTCACATTTTAGCATCGAAAAAGAGAAGCTGTCTTCTATTCTTGAAGAACTTAAAAGTCACCAAGTAAAAAAAAATCAAATTTATTTTTCAAATATGCTTTAATTTGCCTTGATGCTGCGTTACACATCAGTGCAAACATATAATTTACTGCTGAAGGAACTCCAACTTCCATCTATATCACTGTTAGGCAAGCTTAACGCAGGTGAAATTTATTCTATGAAAGTTTTAAAGTTGTTACATGAAAATGGGAGCTTATCAGAAGATCTTTTAATAATTTTTGATGAAATGTATTTGCAAAAATGTGCTGAATATTCTGGCGGAGATATAATTAGGATTAGTGAGGAAAATGAATGTTATAGAAGCATTGTTTCTTTCATGGTAGTTGGTTTAAAAGAAAATATCTCTTGTGTATTCAAAGCAGTTCCAATTATAAAATTAAACAGTGATTGGTTGAAGACTGAAATTCTTAACCTGATTCAATCTTTAATAAAAAATAGTTTTAATGTTCGAGGTGTTGTTTGTGACAATCATGCTTCAAATGTTTACTCTTTTACAAAGTTGCTTAATGCACATGGTAAAAAACCTGATGATTTGTTTATTAATGTACAATCGCAAAAAATTTACCTTTTCTTTGACACAGTGCATCTGATTAAAAACATTCGAAACAACTTACTAAATAAAAAAAGGTTTATTTTTCCAGAATTTCATTTTTCAGGTTTTAAAGATGAAATTCATGTTCAACCAGGAGAAATATCATGGAAAATATTTCATGATTTATTAGAAAAGGACAGCCTGTTGGATGCAAGTTTAAAAAAAGGACCAAAAATAAATAGCAAAGTTGTCCATCCTGGAAACTACAAGCAAAATGACACTATTGCTTTAGGTATCTTCCATGAAACTACAGCAGCAGCAATAAAATCATATTTTCCCGACCGTTTAGATATTGCATCTTTCTTAACTCTTTTTAATAAATGGTGGATAATTACAAATTCAAAAAATCAGTTTTCTAACAACTGTCTTGAAAATGCTGCTATAATTATTGATAAAAAACCTGAGTTTTTTCCACTGATCTCAAAATAATAACTGGATAGCGTATTCTATTGTTTTTCGTAAAAAAAGTTGAAGCCAATTTTGGCCTACCAAGATGGCGTCGGTTAGAACTGCTAGCGGTTTGAATCGTATAAAAATTCTGACCGAATAAGAAAAGTAAACTATTTTTAAGGAAAATAAGATGGCGAAATAAATTTATTTGATTCCTAATTATTAAAATATTCAGCTAGTATACACTTTTTAAATAAGGTTTATAATTTATGTACTTTTTAGTTCTTAATTACCCAATGCTGTGTGCTAGAAGGTTAATAACAGAACTGTATGGTAAGCAGCAACGTTGTCTACCTACAATCTTTAAAGAATTTTAAAATCATGAGTTTTGTAGGTAGAAATATTATTGTACAAATGCTGTATGAACTATTAGCTGAGAACTGTGAGTACACACAACTCAGAGGTTCCTTCTAGGATTATAAAAGTCATTTTATTATTTAATGCATTAACTTTCTGGACTCAATAATCAGTGAAAATATAAAACAATATTTATATTCCAAAGTAAAAAATAATCTCTCAATGACTTAGAAGTCATTGTCAAACTCAATTGTGAATAATTATTCCTCAAAGTTTGAAGGATAATTATTGACAGTTTAACACATACATAGTATGTAAAGATGTAACATATGTATGTTACATTTTATTAAGAATAAATTCTCTAGAGGAGGTTTAGTTAAACCAAGCAAATGTGTTGTTTTGGTATGCAAAGGGACAGAAAGATGTTTCCAAAGGTTTCTTACATTAACAAATATTACCCTGCCTAATGATATAGGAATTAAAAATGCAAATGCAAGTGTTGTTTTGAGATCAGTTGATTTATCAAAAGTATTCAGAACTAACTCATCATATGCTTGATTCGTCTTTAACTGATAAGCATTTATTTTCACTGATTAAAATTATTTCAAAAAATTACTCAAAAATACACTTTCATCACCTACGCAAAGAAGTAAATAACAAATTGACTGGAAAAAAGTTTAGGAAGCAGTTGATTAAATTTGTCTTATTCAAAAATCAATGAAAACATTTGTTTTTAGTATACCATTTTAGTGCACAGATATGGTAAGTACAAATTTTGGTCAAATTGAGATAAGTACACAGAAAAACTTGTTTTTATTTATAGTTTATCGTGCATAAATATGGTATGTGTACGATAAACAATAAAGAGTCTAATAATTGACAATATGTGGTAAATACAAAAACTCTTCTTATTATAATTACGTGTGCAAATGACAGCTTCTATAGTTTTTAATCTTGCACTTACCACATTTGTGCATTATGCCATCGATATATACACAGTAAACTCATGATAACTCAAACCTTTAAAAAATTGAACTTCCAGTATTTGCTTGGACACTTAAAGGTTACGACTTATCAGGAGTTATATATGCATATATATAATATACATACAAACATATATATAAATATATATATATATATATATATATATATATATATATATATATATATATATATATATATATATATACACACTTAAATGTACTAGGTGAGTATATTTATGTGTGTGAATATAGTTAGTATATTTATTTGTATTAAAATAAAAATCTATTAAAATTAAACTAAAATAATTAATGATAACAAACTCTAGAAGGAACCTCTGAGTTGTGTGTACTCACAGAGCTCAGCTAATAGTTCATGCAGCATATGTACATTACAAGTATCTGTTTAAAAATTTTTTTTAAAGACTGATTCATATTAAACAGATACTAAGCTGCCTATCATGCAGTTGTGTTATTAACCTTCTAGCACACAGCATAAGATAATTAAGAACTAAAAGGTACATAAATTGGTTATTAAATTTTTTTGAAGGATTTTATTTATCTTATAGTAAAATATATTTATACATATTTATAAAATATATATATATTTCATAATATGAATATTATTTTTCCTAATATATATATTATATATATATATATATATTAGGATAAATAATATTTATATTAAGCAATGTATATATATATTTTTTATGAATATGTATAAATATATTATATATATATATATATATATATATATATATATATATATATATATATATATATATAGATATATATATGTATAATATATATATATATATATATATATATATATAGATATATATTTATATATAAATATATATTTATAATATATATTATATATATATATAATATATATATAATATATATATATATATATATATAATATATATATATATATATATATATATATATATATATATATATATATATATATATATATATATATATATATATATATATATATATATATATATATATATAAATATGCCTACTTTTATTTTTAAAAATTGTTTTTTTTTTAAAAAAAAACTTATTTGTGTTTAAAATTATATCTTTATCGATTACGCCTAAGGTTTTTGGATTTTTTTAAACGGTACTTCTATAACCGTTGGCAAACTACGCCGCCATCTTGGTAGGCCAAAACTGGCTTCAAAAATTTTCCCGAATGCGCTATCCAGTTATTATTTTGAGATCAGTGGTTTTTTCGAGCTTTCACTGACTGGTTAAATAAATGGAAAAACACAAAAATTCCAAATTTTGAGAAATATACACTATCTCCTCAAACGTTATCAGCACTACAAAGAACTTTATTATGTCATGCTTTATTAATAGAAGATCTGTTAGAAGATAATTATAAATTTATATTGACTGCTCGTTTTCAAAGTGATCCGTTAGAAAGAAGATTTGGACAGTACCGCCAAATGAGTGGTGGCAGGTTCCTTGTCAGTTTGAAAGATGTTATTTAT